ATTCCTTTCGGTAAAAATCTCTGTAGAGAATTTATTTTACAACCTCCAAGGCTCCCGGTAAGCTTCTAAGACGTATAATTTATATATATTATTAATAGATGTTGATGCGTTATTAAGTTCTTTGTTCTTACTAATTTTTAAAGTATTCTTTTACTTATATTATTATAATACAGTTGTTAAGTAAAAGAGAAGAAATAATAGAATATCTTGAGTTCTTTACAAGTAGAATTCTTCCTTTCGAATGGTTTGAACATCTTATTGATTGATAGAATTTGACCCTCTTAGGTCTACTTTCAATCGATACAATGTTTGGTAGATAGAAGTAATCTCTTTGTGGGGAGTCTGGTTTTGTTATAAGTGAACTGTCATTTGATTTTGCTTCTTTAATTTATAAGGCTGATTTACCGTTTTTTTACTGTAAACACTCGTAAAAAATTACATATATAAAAAAAAAACTTTCAAAGCGTATACAAATATACTCGTGTATGCTTATGTAGTAAAGTATTTGCTTAAAGTCAGATATTTTGTAAGGAATTATTCTGTTTACTTTGATATACAAGTACAATGAATTAGCTTGGGGAACGTTATCTAGTAAGATATCGGTTCTAGAGTTTTATGAGGCTTGCAGAACGGATATACAGTATCAGTATATTGTAGGATAGGTAATAAATCTAAGACATTGTATGCAAAATAGCATTCATACCCCAAAGCACGCTGGAGTCGATCCGTATTAGTATCTAAACTCTCTTCGTATTTCTCTCAGGACAGCATTTTCAATAACTTATTCTATAATGAAGCTCATTATGTGTTTCTCCGAGATATTTTCTTCCTTATATTCCTACTTTCCTTATTCTTATAGCTTTTAGAAGATAAAACTTTTCTCATATCGTAAGAGTAATGTCTGATACATATTTATCTATATTTTAAAATCTAAGACTTTTTTCTTCGACAGAGTTGAAAACAATCAATTTACTGACTAAAAATGGAGTAAAAAAGGAAGATTCAGTTCTTGTTTCAGTGGCTTTTAATGTANATATATTTTGTTATTACAAAATGAGTATAACAAACTTTAAATTAATAAATATGAACATTTCAGTATCATCTTTCTCTCTTAAATACAAATCTAAATAGTTTATATTTTATACAGATTAGGATCGTAGAAAATGGCGAAGGAAACAAAGCTATTTACAAACAGAAAAAAAATAAATCTTTACTTCCGTTTTATCTATGTTGTTTGTAAGAAATCTTTTAGACACACCTGCTATAACATACGAGATGTGAATATGTATGACTATTTCTACATAAAATAGGTATAATCTAACCAGTTCTAGTTAGAGATAAAACTTAAGAAAGGAATATCGTATGGGACGAATAGAACTGGTTCGGTATAGCGAACGTTGCACTTAAGAATATTTTATCCTCTTCAGAACATAATGTGTAATTTGTTGGATAATCGATAATTTGGAGGTACCTAAACATAAATTAACCACGAGTTTTAAGAGGCTATTGATAAATAAATCCAGGTTTTAGTACGTGGAGTATTAATTCGTTCCGAAGCAATAAAGAGTAAATTAGATGCGTGCTCCAACTTTATTCTGTTTAGACCACTTTATCAAACGTGATAAGGAATGAAATTTCTTACTAACGTATTTAGTATTCTTTGCTTCTCTACCACAACTGGATCAAACCCTTTCTAATAATGATCTTTCTTTACGATAAGCTAGTAGATTGTGCTATATCCCATTTATGGTATTGAATGTTATCGTTTATACTCCTAGCCGTGATATTACTTTTAGCTGTAGGGTTTTATAATACATTATTAATTTTTCTTTCGGATTGGTAAAGTTGCCGTTAAATAAAATTGTTTTCGAAATTTTTCAGTATGTTAGGATAAGAGTAATTCCAAAATCTTATGGTTAAAAAGTAAAACAACTCGTTTATGGGTAGAAAAAAACATTAAAATAAACAAAAATACCTCTCAATTTATACTATGATCATCAGTACTTATAAGATTTTTTAAAAAAATTTAAATTACTACTATAAAATAATAGAAAACAACTATTTATTCTATTAATACACTCTCTTATTTGATATAGAAATTGAACTAAAATTTATCACAATTTTCTGCTTCAGCGATAATAGCTGCTTTCAATCATTGATCGGTTATGACTGCTGTGGTTGGCCCTCATACAGTTAACTGAACTATTCTAAAAGAAATCCATTTCGACATGAAGATAATTTTCTTTTCTTATTGTTGAGGGAAAAATTTTAAAGAGTTTTCGTTCATTTTAGATCATATAAGTAGAATTATTTATTAGATAGAAATATTGAAAAACGAAATTAATATAGGTATTAGTTTTGTATTTTTCAACAAGAGAAATCATTATAATAGAAGAACATTGAGTAATCAGTCGTATTTTCTTTGCAATAGTTGAATAAAGTAGAATTATGAATATATATTTTAACATCGCTTTGAGGATGTTCCTCAATCCTACAATATAACATTAAACGAGGTTGAGTGAATGCATTGTATGATTAAAAAAAAATTGCTACTTATTTTGCTAGGAGGCCGGAGCCAGCTCTTTGTATGAAGCAGACATTTTGATGTTCTTTGCTGCAGAAGTGTCCTTAGCGAAGAATAATTTCCTGTTCTTATAGAACCAAAAGATTCTTGTGTACAAAACCCATAATGCCTAAAATACAGTACTTGTAAGCTACTTAGTCGAACTATTCTGAACTTCAATATAATATAAAGCATTACAATATTCATTTCTATAGAAAACTTCTGTTATGTTTAAAACTTTTATATACAAAATATATCAATTGAAATAAATAATTCAAGTAATTCTTAATAGTTGATGTTACCTCTCAACAATTAACCAAAACAAGAAAGTCAGGAAGTAACTGCCACTTTTTTTCATTCCACTTACTCAGTCCACTCATTCAGAAATACTTCTCGACATTGAAGTTGTAAGTGCAGACAGTATGGCTCCGATATTTGGTAGCATGGCATTCTGGTAATTGATTAGCGTGTAATGATTCGACCTTGGTGCTGAAGACAACTAATTCCACTCTGCAGAGCATAACCTTCGCACCAAGAAACAAAATCGAATGGTTTAGTTATACTTTTATTTTTAAGAGTTAGCCAACAATTGCCCCTCTCCCTTTTGTAAGATTCGTAAAAGGTGCTAATTCTGCAAATTGTTTCCAATAGAGTTCTGTTAATGTTGAACAGTTTTAGAAAGCTTCCTATTTACGACCAGACTGACCTTGAACCAGGCCTCCCACTACTTCAGTCTAACCAGTTCAGCAGTACGAACTTAACTACTGTTGACCTGTGCATCGTGTATAACATATTAGAACAACTTTAATACGATTTAGTGCATTAAAAAAATTTCTGGGGCGTAAAACAGATGATCTACTGAACGTTAAACTATTTCTTTCGTTCTTCATCTACATAAAATCCAAATATTTAATGAGAAAAATATAAAATACATATGAAAACAATTAAATATGTTCAAGCTACTGATTCTTGTAGATAAACAGCAAAAATAGTCATGTTTAATATAGAAGGATCAGTCTTGGTAAAAAGATTAATATTAAATAGAACATCAATTTTGATGAATGTATGGATATGTTGATATATAATAGTAAAGTATCTAGATCTAACTCCAGTAGTATTGTATATATTAATAAATTACGTACAATTACTGCTATTCAAATGTTAAACACCCCAAAGGGAAGAAGTGAGAGGGGGACAAACATTATCATCATAGTTTTTGATATGCTAAACATTTTTTTTTCCTTCAGTTTAGCCTAAATTTTACAAAAGAAAGATCAGAAAACTTTGAAATAATTTCCAAAAAATTAAAATGTATATAAATTAACCTATATTGTTGTACACTATAAGGTATACAATTTGATAAATCAATGCCAGAGATAAAGCATTAAATATAATGATATAAGCTAATTTATTTATTAATTTTTATATATAAATTATTATGAAATTTGTATACAAATTTCCAGTGACAATTTTTATCAGTTAAATCTTATTGAAAATAAATTCATAAATTCTGAAATATTGTATTGCTTCTGATAGTTAACTTCCTAAATATTTGTTGTTTTCACTTACATCAAAAAATCAATTATAACAAGTAAACAATGGTTTTTACCTCTCACTCAGGTCCTTTTTACCATAGGAAGAAATGTAAAAAAAGCATATTACAAGAAGGCAATTCTAAAATTACCATATAGTCTATCTAATTTTCAAAATTTTATATAATTGGAAGGAATTAACATACAATGACATTTGAAAATTTTTTATTCAAATGTCAGACTTAATTAGACTTATGGTGCTATTTAATAATTAAAAAAAGGTATAAGATTTTAAGAGGACTTTTCTTAAATTGATTATAAACATTTATCATTTTGTATAGTTGTATTTTGCAATTAAATATGATTTCAAATGGATCAAGTTGTGTACTTGAAATCAATTTAACTGTTCAATTTTTTGAGATTATTATTGATCTTATCAGTTTAGTAGACAAGCGATACATTGATACACTTTGTAAACATTATATTATCGTCATTAAAACCAGCAATTATCCATTTTCGATGTTTACAAACTGTATCCAGGTATCACTGATCTATACAGTGAGATTATATCAGACTGATAAGATCAGCAACTCATAGGAAATTGCAGTAGAACCTCCCATTAATGCCGTTTTCAATTACAGTGTAAGCATAACTTTTTTAAAAATAAATACAGATTTCAAACTGTTCTTTAAATAAAATTAGTAGTTTTTTAAATTTAATTAATACAAGTATATATGTACTGTACAGTATAGTATATCATGTTCTTAAATGTTACATACTTGATTTTTAAAGTCTGCCATTTTAATGGATAGTAATAAGAGGAATTCTAAGTTATCAGAAAGTGTGATAGTATCATTGAAAAACTTTAATCTGTACTAAATTAGTTTATTATACTTGTTCAGAGAATAAAACAAATTTTGTATTACTGAAGTTCATCTCTAACAAGACACCATCGAACCAGATAGGTCAGTTTCTTGACCCTTGGAAGAAGGGGCGAAAAGTCACCACACCTGACCCATGTATCAAGTGACAAACTGCTCTCGATCCCTCGGGACTCGTCTAATAACAACCATCATTGGGTGGCCCTATCTACCTGACAGCTCCCTAGAGGCCGTAATCTGCTTTTAATGGGTTCCTAGGCCACAAACAGGGTTTGTTCTACAAGTCCGATTGCGTTGTTAAACCACACAATCAGATAAATCATTCCCCACACCACCTGCACTGCTTTACAACATTCTACCGTTTTACTAAATATGACATTGGAATTAATTTCTAAGACCCAAATTTTCGTTTTCTCTTGCTGTAATACGTGTCTTGGGATTATTATGCTACGATAAAGTTGGATTACACATATTAAATAGTTTTTGAACTCCTGTTATATATTAGTTTAGTATGCAATAAAAATTTTAGTTGGAATGATTAGCATGATAATCTTTATTAGCTACTTGTGTGTATTAAAAGCAAAATTAGTACATAACTTGTATACATCTTACCTGTGTGAGTCCTTTTGTGAATTTTAAGATTTTCGCTTCTCGCAAATACTTTTCCGCAGCCTGGGAAAGGGCACGGAAACGGCTTTTCTCCGGTGTGAACTCTGATATGATTTACCAGTTTGTATTTCGCTTTGAAAGGCCTACCATTCCTAATACAATCCTGCCAAAAACAAGCATGATTAGTACACTCGGGTCCACCGACGTGTTCGACGGTAATGTGAGTCACAATTTCGTGCATGGAATTAAACGTTTTACTACACGGTTTCTTAGGACTTGGTTGATCTTGGTCCACCCACAAACATGTCATTTCCTGCTTAATAGGTTGCCTCATGTAACGAAAGAAGGCTCCCGAACCATGATGATGTGGGACATGTCCTACGTTGACAGCTCCGTAAGTGCCCGTCAAGTGATGGTCGGAACGCGGAGCTCCCATTTGATTAAATGTATCAGGCCGGCCATACATATCGGTTCCGAGCGACAGTCGAACTTGACCATTGACATGTCCCGTGTGGTGGGGATGTTCGAGACCCGAAAAAATGTCTGCCGTGTGATGAGACGACGACACAAACATTCCATGATGAGCTGGACTATTTGTTGTCAAAGAATCGTGCGTTGCCAAGGTACTCGATAGCGAAGGCATATGATCCCGACGGATGAGAAAATCTCTAGTGGCGTAACCACCCACATGACTATGATGGCTCACGTGAGAATGAGGTACCCCGTACCCGTTGGGTGGTTGTCCCCCGAATTGGTGGTTAGTCTGAGAATGGGCCGCCGCAGCTGCCACGGCGGCAGCTTCACCAGCCATAGCGTGCGAAGGACTTAACTTGATGGCACCCATGTGGGCACTGGTGTCCATGAAGGGGTTCAACATGTCTGACGACTGATGGTGTTCTTGACCCCCGCGGTGGTGGACTGCCGGCGTGTTGAAGGGGAACCCCTGGCTGGGCCCTAGAGCCGGGTGACCATGGCCTCCTGGTAGCTCGACCAGACGTAGGGCTTGACTACGTTTACCGAACCCATGTTCCATAATCGCACTACTTAAAGTCTGCGTCATGCCAGCGGAGCAAGGCGTACGGACGTCCTCACCGAATGCTCCCCATTCGTCTAGCTGAGAGTCGACTGGCCGGGCTCACCTGGTGTGCTATGCCGTCACTGGCTGAGTCAACTTCTCTCTTATTGGATGAATATGAAGAACGGACAGACGAACTGCTTTCTGCTCCAATCAGATGCTAGTATCGTAGTAGATGGCACGTGCGTGTAGGCGGGGTTCCTCAGCGGGGGTTCGCTGTCAATCATCGGAGGAGTGATGCATCCCAGGCTTGAAAAGTAAAAAGTAAATACTATAGGCTTTATACTATACCTGTAAATCTTGGATCGAAATACAACATGAACATTTCCAATTTGTGTACTAACTCACAATCTACGGAATATAGCTTACCTTTAAAATAATTATGCTAAATGATATTTAGTTTCCCTCATCTTCAACCAACGTCTTATATTCATACAAATACATACAATGACAGTTAGTGGCAAGTAATATATACTGCTTTTATTCAAACTGATTTTTCTATTCTTTCACAATACTAATAGTTAATGGAATTTAAAATTACTCGCATCTTTTTTTAATTCTGGAATTTTATTTTTCAGATATTCAATTAAAAATATCTGTTAATTGAATAAAGTAAGCCATGTACGGATAGAAAATCTAAACAGACTTTTTTTAAAAAATTATTAAAATAAATATTTCAAAATTTTAATACATAACACTTAAAATGTTTACTATAAAATAATCTAATTTCTAACTAAAATAACCAATAAAATATTAAAAATCACGTAAAATTTTAATCTACATTAAATACAGTTTGTACAGAAGAAATTTCAAATTCATGTTAACATTAATAATTTAAATAATACTAAATTTATTACGGATAAAATTAACAAGCGTAAAATAATACTAAATTAACGCCGTATCTCTAATTAATGCATCTCTTGTAATAAATCTAGCAAAGTTTTATAGATATGTAAATATATTTACTTTAATAATGGGCTTTTTTAAATTATATACAATACCCAATATTTAAATTGGGACTGGTCAATGCAATTAAAATATATAATAATATTCTATTATATAAAATTTATATTCAGATATATAGGTAAAAATTTATATATAAAAATCCATGCAAACGTTCACTAAATTTAAATACATTAAAACTTAAAATGAACTAAAAGAATAATTAGTTTATCTGGAAAAGGATTCTTATACCAAATAGGCTACTTAGTTTAGTAACAATGGGATTTAGATAATCCTCTATTCCCTGAATAAGGTGCGAAGAAATGCTATTAGTACTGTATAGAAAATCTATTTTTAGAATATAATTTCTAAATAGATTATTATACTTAATGCATCTGCAATATACAATATGCAAAGCAAAGAATTCTTAAGAATAAAACTTTTAAAACATTATAAAAGTACTCAATTATTGTAAGGTGTTCAAAGTTCATTAAGTGACTGACAAAGTAAAAGCAAGCAGTTCTTTTACATAGCTTATCTAATAAGTTATTATTTTTTTGATATTTAAGCTAGTATTTTATTCTCATTTTAATAATAAGTAAGTACGATTATACTCGTTATTTTTAAATGAAAAACTGTTATAGAAAACATAAATACATTGAATTCGTAGTTAAATTTAATGCCGTAACGAAGTTGGTATATGAAATAGTTTTGCTACTGTGATTACTTACTGGTCAGTTAGTATAAATATGATTTATTTCTATTTTATTCTCTATTAGAAATATGTTTTTCTTTCTATGGACATGTAAACTAAATAATACAATTTACGGCTAACTGGACACTTGTTTTAAGAAGTTCCTTCCTGTAACAATTTAGCCAGGGCCTTAATGACTAACACAAGGTTTTAACAGCTGGTTTTAAGAAGAAAGCTAAATAAATTCAGATGGTTCGTATTTACTCTTCTGTAAAACGGATTGAGACAATAAAATGGTCAGAAACATGATATATTCCAGATCAATAATTATTTAGATGCTTCAAACATCATCATTACTATTAGATATAATAAAATTCTTAATGTAAGTTACCATATTTAGAAATAGGAAACTTTCCTAAAACAGAAACCATTGAGCTAAATTTATGTATTTAGATGTAAAATTCATTTAAAATTCATTTCAAATTTTTATTGCAGTATAAAAATAGTAAATAGGCTTATATCACTTCCTTCTTTAACATAGAAAACAGATTAATTAATAAATATAATTCTACGTAATAAAATCTAACAGCAAAAATATCTGAATAAAATTCGCGTTAAAAATTTTTTTTTAAAANAGTACATTATAGATTTAAGCCTGTAATATAATGTAAAACTAATAATAATTTAGATTTTGCACACCGAAAATCAATTCAAAAACCATTGAGAAATATAGAAAAATTTCTGAAATAAATTCGCCTGTATATCCTACATCATTTTTCAGTTTAAAAACTGATATTTTTATGCCGTGTTTAATGCAATATAGATTAAAAAAGAAACTGAAATATACTTTAATAAATTTAAATCGATGATGAGCAATTTCGCATCCATTAATAGCTACAGGTTCTCCCTCCCTATAAGAATAATTTCGGTTAAAAATCGATAACAGTATCCACGTTTGAAGTGGAAATCGAACCCATAAGCCAGTAGAAGCTTAATACTCTTCTAAATGCGTAGGCCTATTATGGTTTTATGAAAGATTAAGCTCTTATTCTTAATACGAGCTTAATCTTTCATAAAACCTTCTATAAGGAAGAAGGCAATTAAGCTCGTAATCTTAATACGAGCTTAATTGTATTTTCGTAAACAATAAACTTCTATTTGTCATTTCATTAATATCACAGATTAATTTCTTTCTATTTTTCCCTAAACTCTTGTTAATAAGTTAAATGAAGAATAAAACAATTAAAAATTAGGATTTAAAAACGTCATATTAAGAATTTCTAGTTAAAAAAACACTGTATTCTCGACATATTTCATTGCTTAATATAAATATTGAGTGATAAGTACAGTCGACTCCCCCTATAACACTGTTGATTATTACGTTTTATATGAATTCCATGTTGTACGAGTCACTTAGATTTTACAAATACGTGAGCCGTTCAGAGCCCGGCACACGTATTTGTAAAATCTAAGTGACTCGTACAACATGGGAAATCATATAAAACTGAATAATCAACAGTGTTATAGGGGGGTCGACTGTAATCTGTTACAAACGAATTTCCTAAAAATCTATACAGTAATCTGATAAAATGGTTCAAAAAACGATTTAAAAAATAACTTTTTTAGACATTTTTTACTGTGTAACATTAGAAAAGCTTTATATATAATCAAATAAAATGCTTTTATTTTTCGCCCAACATCAAAGAGCTTAATAAAATGAATTACTATGCGAAAAATATCATCACTAGAAACCACTTTATTCTTCAAACCAACACGTAATATGTACGAGATATTATTTAGAATTCATTAATTTTATTTCTGACACAAAAACTATGTAATTATAAATATTGTTAGTTCACCAGTTACATTATAGTAAGTTATTAATAAATTGAAAAGTTCAAACAAAATATTTCATTAATAAACAAACTGATTATGTGATTCTTAAAATATAATTGTATATAGTAATTATTAAGTCAAGTCAACTATTTCGCATAATATTTAATTATATAAATAGATATAAAGGTAAGCAGTTGATTTGAATATAAGGTTAAATAAGTGAATTTAATTATCCCGAAAGTATATAAAAAATATTTCCAGAAATTTAAATATTTTCTGGATATTAATGAATAACACTAATTTATTTCCAATTCATTATTCATAATTTATAATAAATAAATATGTAAATTTATGACTAGTATTACATATCTTCATATAACAAACGTCATGTTTCACTTTAAATAGCCGCTAATCACTTGTTATAATTGGATTAGTAACAGCCTCTAATTTATTATACAGTAAACAGATTCGAAGTAAACTTTCTCAATTTGTGAAAGTGCAAGATGAATGAGCCAGAAACTACTACTAATGTAAAGCTTAATGAGAAAATTCATTCTGTATAATTTACATGGTATGTAATATTGTTGAAAATAAAGACTTCATTAGATATTTCATATAAAAGTCCTCGTAGAAATTTATTTAAATCTTGTTTGTTTCCAAAACGAGCTATAACTCACGTATGGAAGTCATACATGGATGGTCGATCATGCGGCAATATTTAATTACTATGACCTACTGACAGGCTAAAATATATTGCGAATTGTCTCAAGAAAAACAAACTCAATAACAAAGCACTATATATATATATATACACACACTCATTTAAAGAAACTATTAATTATGAGAATTAAAATGTATGGTAGAATAGCCCGAGAAACTAATTTTAAAAAGGGACAAAAGTAACTAAAAATTAATGGAATAAACTTTGGAAAAATATATATTGTATTTCTAATAATTTGAAATTATTATCGAGTGAAAGTTTATAGGAAAAAAAACACATTGCTTTATTAACTGCGATAGAAAAAACAGGATTCAGTCGGGGTCATACAACGTAAACTAATTAATATGGCGGAATTAAATGGCAAGAACGCATAGGAAGGTGTAATTTTATGGAAGAAATCATTCAAGCAAAGCCATGACGTCACAGGAAGAAAGAACTATTGTGGATGCAGAGGAAGTGAGTGGCATTAATCATTGTCGGTCTGGGTTTAGTACAAGGCTGTGGACAAACATTCATCGTTTAACAGTCCTGTAAAGAATCGACTAGCATGAATATTACAGATTTTTCTCTTAAACAATACAGATTGTATCTATTATTCCATATTCCAAATAAGGATTTCTAGAGAATTATTTTTCGTATTAGCACACAGATGATGATTTTAAAAATCCAGTTGACAATACAACTAATCATCCCAAACCAGTTTTACTCTGGAGGAGAAGCATCAGCTAGACAGATCAATTGAAAAGATAATTAGTTGAATAATTGATGTCATTTGTTCAGTAATTGAATCTTAATCTTCTGAAGTATATCTTATCTCTTATGCCATTTTTGTATCTATCATTAGAAAGATGTGTGAGGTCTAGATAAATTCGAATACCTGATGTATGAAGTTTGTTACTATTGATTAGAATATATTCAGCATAAACGCCATTACTATATGAAAACTATGTTAAAAAAAAATAATAAGATTACTGGAAAGGTTGTAATACCGAATGGTAAAAAGAGATAGGATTAGAATGCATGGTTATTCGAGTCCTCCCTTGTTCTGTTTCGTACTGTTATGGTATCAATTTCGGAAAATGTTGTAACTTTCGAAACTGCAAAGTGACTAATGGACTGTCATTGCATAATGAGAAAAGGAAAGGAGTTGCGATAAGAAACTTGACGCCTTCGATTCGCGAAAAAAGGACGATTCATTCTGTAATTCGAACAGATCAAAGTGAAGAACTGAAACAAGGGATGGGCGGGGGTGGAAGATTTGCAATCCAGACGGACAACACCGATTGTAGAGTGCGACTGTCATGAATACTTAACATCAGTCTGTGTTTAATTACCGTTACAATTAATTGCTTCTACATTTGGTTTTTACTCTCTTCCGTTACTCTCCTCTCCTTTCTATCCTCAGACAATTTCAATAGCAAGTGAGAACTATTTACAAAAACACGCATAATCGTTTAAGATCAATATCAATTTAATTCTATCTAATGTTAAATTTGCTTAGAAAAATCGTAGATGGAAGTTTTGATAACATTGTAAAAAGGTAATGTAGTGGAATAAATAAAATAAAAACACAAAATATTCTGTTTAATGTCAACAACAACACACAATATTGTACGTATTTTATTTAATGAAGGTCGTTCAGACCCAGTCGGGATTTACCTACAATTAATTTAAAAACTTTTACAGGTTCTGGAAAGCCCCAGATATGTTACAATAATATCGACGCAATGGGTTCGCATCATTTATTGTTTGTACAGAGTGACCCGCACGGGTGCGGGAATGTCCCTCCCGTCTTTCGGGATCAATACAGGACGGACTATAGCAGCTCCGGGATGCAGTCTGCCGCGCTTCGGGTAACGCCCCTCTGGTCCCTTATCAACACACTACTCTCTCTCTCTCCGACCAGAACGCTTCTCGGGGCATTTACCCAGTCTCCACGTTGCTCGATTATGTACACACTTTCCTAATAAGCGGTGGTAACAGAATGTAGCGGATGGGGTATAAGTCCTCCTACGGGCGAGTGTTCGTTGCTGGGTGGAGTGGGCATCCCTGCCGACGACTGACATACGTACCACTCGCTCAGGTTTGTGGGGTGGTGTCCGGCTCCCGCCAAAGCAGGATGGTGGCCGGTTAAAGTTAGTGCTACAGAGGCCGGCCCGACCGCCGGGTTGACCTGTTGAACTCTTCCAATGTTCGAACCCGTACCGCCGTCACTCTCGTAACCCGAACCCGTGCTACTGGCGCTACTTCCTACGGGTCCGGGAGTCGAGCCCGGCGGCGGAGGAGATTTTCCGTGAACCTTCATATGCTTCCGTAGAGAACTGGGATGAGTGTAACTTTTGTCACAACCACGAATTTTACAGTTATAAGGTTTGTCACTTGTGTGGACGTGTGAATGTTTCTTCCTGTCTGAGCTATTAGCAAACCTCCTGTCGCAACCTTCGAACTCGCATTTAAAGGGCTTCTCTCCTGAAACAGAAAGAGTTATTCTTAATTTTTATTCTATTTATTCTCAATATTATTTTTATAATTTTCTTGTTAATTTGTTTGCAATAGAAAAACAATTCATATTTTCAATCAGTTTTCCTACAGGTTCTTAGGCTATTCACGAAAATTATATACTAACCCGAATGCAAGATATTTTAAAAAATTTCGGATATATTTTCTTGAATGGTCTTTAACCTTTATTTTAACTCGCTAAATGGCACGAGAGCTATGCAGTGGCTTTACTTCTCCTGGAGGAAAAGCGGGTATCCATGCATTTGGGGAGATTTTATTGCTCGGCTAAACGGAGAGCGTAGCGATGATGGTACCTGAGGAGTGGAGGAGCAGGGCATTTAATATTAGCGAGAATGCGTGCGGATTCCCACAGTCAGAAACAAAATAGTTGGTTGTGCACAGAAGCTCCCATTATTCTACATTACACGGTCTGTTGTAGAAAGCAGATGTTGGATGGACTTACGCCCATCCCTCGTAGTTTACCTAAGCTTCTCGGGGCGGGGCGTTCGAGAGTAGAGGGCTTGGTTCTTCCCCTTGTAGGATTGGGGTTGTGCAGCTGTCAAAACCCTGGATTTTCCTCCTCCTCCCCCGCTTCGTGGGAAGTGCACTTCTTTTCTTTCATGTCTCTTTCAGGAGTATAAGTTCAATCTAATTATATTCTCATCTATTGAATGTAAGGCAAATCCATTTCCTGTATTCTATGAATTATTGATAGATAAGATTAGTCTTGTGACCCAACCACAAAAGCACAAAAGATAAACCTCTTATAACCGAATTAAAACGCGATGAGTTATCATCGAATCCGATTTAAACCCTTTTTATTTGCACCTGTTTAGTTTAAGAAACAAAACTTCTAATGTTAAGAATAATTTAGTATCTAGAAAAAGAAAAAAGAAGAAATTTGAAGCTAAGAATTTTAAAAAATCTCGTTCAGATCTGTAAATATTCAAAAATAGAAATAAATCAATTATAATGTCTCGTGGGCGTAGAAATGCAAACAAAATCTTTTTAGCACGAAAAGTCATTGTTCTTTTGCTTCTCGACAGAAGAATTAAGAATCATTAAGCAGTATTGGGAGGTTTCCAACTAAAGAGGAGAATGAAAAATTCTAAACCAACGTTTGTGTTGCTCTATCTCGCAATCATTTGTCTTCATTAGTACTTTGAAAGAATTTTAAGCAGTTTACGTTTCAGACCTAAGATTTTATTATTATTTGTAACTTAATGGCTTAAGACAAATTCAACACATCCGAAGAAAAGATTCATTTCAAATATCGAAAGACAGCATTAGTATTTCTTTGATTTAAAATAATGTATTTGTAATAACTTCTGTGTTGCAATTTATGATTTCAATTATTTTTCTTCCTTTAAACAATTACATGAAATGTTAATCAAAAGAAAATAAATGGAATGGTAAATTATTTAAATTTATACAATATATATATATATTTATATATTTGCTTTATAATATTTTCTTACTTTAGAAATTACTTTAGAACTTATTAATGTAATTTCAAAAACAAAAATTTATACTTAAAATTTAATAAATAGCTTGGTAAACTGAAGAAATTAGCCTGGAGATGAAATGTCATTCTACGTATCAATGCACGATGCTATTATATACACAGAGTGATAAATCACCTTCAGGCTAATTTCTACTAAAACTATCAAACTAAAAGAGTCTCATCTATAAAGTTTTAAGTAAAACAGTTTGTTTTTTAATATTATGTTTAATGGAGTGAAGTACTTGCAGCTCTTAAATGATTTTTCCTAATCCTTCGTCAGCAAGTACCAAAATTCAATATAGAATTCTTCTGAGAGATAATAGCCTACTTAGTAAGGAACTCAAATGATTTGACGAATAAGATTTACTTTGAGAGATAAAACTGAGAAAAGATAAGCTAAGTGATAACTCTTTTAATAAATTCCGGAAGCGCGTGAATCCTTTAAATGTTTCTTTTGAAAAAAAGGATGCCGATATGAGAACAATTAAGGGATAAGCAATCCCGCGGAGCCAATGTGTCCCCCAGTGACATCGACTACAATTTGACATCGAAGTAAACACCTTCACTACAAGAAAATATCTCTTATGACAAGAAAAGAAACTTCAGAAAATAACAAAAAAAAGAAAGACATTACGAATTTAACGAAAGAAATTCTTGAATTAAAAATTGTCAGTTGTAAACAGTTTGAGAAAAGCGTGTTCGATATTCTATTTAATAGTTATCACTTTTCATATTTCTTTTATCTCTTTTTTTTAACAGGAGAAAAATNCTTATGGTGCTATTTAATAATTAAAAAAAGGTATAAGATTTTAAGAGGACTTTTCTTAAATTGATTATAAACATTTATCATTTTGTATAGTTGTATTTTGCAATTAAATATGATTTCAAATGGATCAAGTTGTGTACTTGAAATCAATTTAACTGTTCAATTTTTTGAGATTATTATTGATCTTATCAGTTTAGTAGACAAGCGATACATTGATACACTTTGTAAACATTATATTATCGTCATTAAAACCAGCAATTATCCATTTTCGATGTTTACAAACTGTATCCAGGTATCACTGATCTATACAGTGAGATTATATCAGACTGATAAGATCAGCAACTCATAGGAAATTGCAGTAGAACCTCCCATTAATGCCGTTTTCAATTACAGTGTAAGCATAACTTTTTTAAAAATAAATACAGATTTCAAACTGTTCTTTAAATAAAATTAGTAGTTTTTTAAATTTAATTAATACAAGTATATATGTACTGTACAGTATAGTATATCATGTTCTTAAATGTTACATACTTGATTTTTAAAGTCTGCCATTTTAATGGATAGTAATAAGAGGAATTCTAAGTTATCAGAAAGTGTGATAGTATCATTGAAAAACTTTAATCTGTACTAAATTAGTTTATTATACTTGTTCAGAGAATAAAACAAATTTTGTATTACTGAAGTTCATCTCTAACAAGACACCATCGAACCAGATAGGTCAGTTTCTTGACCCTTGGAAGAAGGGGCGAAAAGTCACCACACCTGACCCATGTATCAAGTGACAAACTGCTCTCGATCCCTCGGGACTCGTCTAATAACAACCATCATTGGGTGGCCCTATCTACCTGACAGCTCCCTAGAGGCCGTAATCTGCTTTTAATGGGTTCCTAGGCCACAAACAGGGTTTGTTCTACAAGTCCGATTGCGTTGTTAAACCACACAATCAGATAAATCATTCCCCACACCACCTGCACTGCTTTACAACATTCTACCGTTTTACTAAATATGACATTGGAATTAATTTCTAAGACCCAAATTTTCGTTTTCTCTTGCTGTAATACGTGTCTTGGGATTATTATGCTACGATAAAGTTGGATTACACATATTAAATAGTTTTTGAACTCCTGTTATATATTAGTTTAGTATGCAATAAAAATTTTAGTTGGAATGATTAGCATGATAATCTTTATTAGCTACTTGTGTGTATTAAAAGCAAAATTAGTACATAACTTGTATACATCTTACCTGTGTGAGTCCTTTTGTGAATTTTAAGATTTTCGCTTCTCGCAAATACTTTTCCGCAGCCTGGGAAAGGGCACGGAAACGGCTTTTCTCCGGTGTGAACTCTGATATGATTTACCAGTTTGTATTTCGCTTTGAAAGGCCTACCATTCCTAATACAATCCTGCCAAAAACAAGCATGATTAGTACACTCGGGTCCACCGACGTGTTCGACGGTAATGTGAGTCACAATTTCGTGCATGGAATTAAACGTTTTACTACACGGTTTCTTAGGACTTGGTTGATCTTGGTCCACCCACAAACATGTCATTTCCTGCTTAATAGGTTGCCTCATGTAACGAAAGAAGGCTCCCGAACCATGATGATGTGGGACATGTCCTACGTTGACAGCTCCGTAAGTGCCCGTCAAGTGATGGTCGGAACGCGGAGCTCCCATTTGATTAAATGTATCAGGCCGGCCATACATATCGGTTCCGAGCGACAGTCGAACTTGACCATTGACATGTCCCGTGTGGTGGGGATGTTCGAGACCCGAAAAAATGTCTGCCGTGTGATGAGACGACGACACAAACATTCCATGATGAGCTGGACTATTTGTTGTCAAAGAATCGTGCGTTGCCAAGGTACTCGATAGCGAAGGCATATGATCCCGACGGATGAGAAAATCTCTAGTGGCGTAACCACCCACATGACTATGATGGCTCACGTGAGAATGAGGTACCCCGTACCCGTTGGGTGGTTGTCCCCCGAATTGGTGGTTAGTCTGAGAATGGGCCGCCGCAGCTGCCACGGCGGCAGCTTCACCAGCCATAGCGTGCGAAGGACTTAACTTGATGGCACCCATGTGGGCACTGGTGTCCATGAAGGGGTTCAACATGTCTGACGACTGATGGTGTTCTTGACCCCCGCGGTGGTGGACTGCCGGCGTGTTGAAGGGGAACCCCTGGCTGGGCCCTAGAGCCGGGTGACCATGGCCTCCTGGTAGCTCGACCAGACGTAGGGCTTGACTACGTTTACCGAACCCATGTTCCATAATCGCACTACTTAAAGTCTGCGTCATGCCAGCGGAGCAAGGCGTACGGACGTCCTCACCGAATGCTCCCCATTCGTCTAGCTGAGAGTCGACTGGCCGGGCTCACCTGGTGTGCTATGCCGTCACTGGCTGAGTCAACTTCTCTCTTATTGGATGAATATGAAGAACGGACAGACGAACTGCTTTCTGCTCCAATCAGATGCTAGTATCGTAGTAGATGGCACGTGCGTGTAGGCGGGGTTCCTCAGCGGGGGTTCGCTGTCAATCATCGGAGGAGTGATGCATCCCAGGCTTGAAAAGTAAAAAGTAAATACTATAGGCTTTATACTATACCTGTAAATCTTGGATCGAAATACAACATGAACATTTCCAATTTGTGTACTAACTCACAATCTACGGAATATAGCTTACCTTTAAAATAATTATGCTAAATGATATTTAGTTTCCCTCATCTTCAACCAACGTCTTATATTCATACAAATACATACAATGACAGTTAGTGGCAAGTAATATATACTGCTTTTATTCAAACTGATTTTTCTATTCTTTCACAATACTAATAGTTAATGGAATTTAAAATTACTCGCATCTTTTTTTAATTCTGGAATTTTATTTTTCAGATATTCAATTAAAAATATCTGTTAATTGAATAAAGTAAGCCATGTACGGATAGAAAATCTAAACAGACTTTTTTTAAAAAATTATTAAAATAAATATTTCAAAATTTTAATACATAACACTTAAAATGTTTACTATAAAATAATCTAATTTCTAACTAAAATAACCAATAAAATATTAAAAATCACGTAAAATTTTAATCTACATTAAATACAGTTTGTACAGAAGAAATTTCAAATTCATGTTAACATTAATAATTTAAATAATACTAAATTTATTACGGATAAAATTAACAAGCGTAAAATAATACTAAATTAACGCCGTATCTCTAATTAATGCATCTCTTGTAATAAATCTAGCAAAGTTTTATAGATATGTAAATATATTTACTTTAATAATGGGCTTTTTTAAATTATATACAATACCCAATATTTAAATTGGGACTGGTCAATGCAATTAAAATATATAATAATATTCTATTATATAAAATTTATATTCAGATATATAGGTAAAAATTTATATATAAAAATCCATGCAAACGTTCACTAAATTTAAATACATTAAAACTTAAAATGAACTAAAAGAATAATTAGTTTATCTGGAAAAGGATTCTTATACCAAATAGGCTACTTAGTTTAGTAACAATGGGATTTAGATAATCCTCTATTCCCTGAATAAGGTGCGAAGAAATGCTATTAGTACTGTATAGAAAATCTATTTTTAGAATATAATTTCTAAATAGATTATTATACTTAATGCATCTGCAATATACAATATGCAAAGCAAAGAATTCTTAAGAATAAAACTTTTAAAACATTATAAAAGTACTCAATTATTGTAAGGTGTTCAAAGTTCATTAAGTGACTGACAAAGTAAAAGCAAGCAGTTCTTTTACATAGCTTATCTAATAAGTTATTATTTTTTTGATATTTAAGCTAGTATTTTATTCTCATTTTAATAATAAGTAAGTACGATTATACTCGTTATTTTTAAATGAAAAACTGTTATAGAAAACATAAATACATTGAATTCGTAGTTAAATTTAATGCCGTAACGAAGTTGGTATATGAAATAGTTTTGCTACTGTGATTACTTACTGGTCAGTTAGTATAAATATGATTTATTTCTATTTTATTCTCTATTAGAAATATGTTTTTCTTTCTATGGACATGTAAACTAAATAATACAATTTACGGCTAACTGGACACTTGTTTTAAGAAGTTCCTTCCTGTAACAATTTAGCCAGGGCCTTAATGACTAACACAAGGTTTTAACAGCTGGTTTTAAGAAGAAAGCTAAATAAATTCAGATGGTTCGTATTTACTCTTCTGTAAAACGGATTGAGACAATAAAATGGTCAGAAACATGATATATTCCAGATCAATAATTATTTAGATGCTTCAAACATCATCATTACTATTAGATATAATAAAATTCTTAATGTAAGTTACCATATTTAGAAATAGGAAACTTTCCTAAAACAGAAACCATTGAGCTAAATTTATGTATTTAGATGTAAAATTCATTTAAAATTCATTTCAAATTTTTATTGCAGTATAAAAATAGTAAATAGGCTTATATCACTTCCTTCTTTAACATAGAAAACAGATTAATTAATAAATATAATTCTACGTAATAAAATCTAACAGCAAAAATATCTGAATAAAATTCGCGTTAAAAATTTTTTTTTAAAATGTTATAAAAAGATTATGTATAAATAATTTTAATATATATTATATTAGCTTATATAAAACTTAATGATTTGTATACTTAAATGCCAAATTATATTTTAAAAATATGATGTTTAATATATAAATTCGCCACTTATATGAATGAAAAATTGGGATAAAATTGTTTAAATTTTTCAATATCAAATGGCAATATTTCTAAACGAAAAGAAAAAGAACAAAAATCGAAGATTTCTTTCGAAACATCATTAACACATTAGAGTATTGTGTTGCGTCACGCGTGACAACAATATAGGATCTCGATATGGCTCTTGTCCCTCGCGAGATCCGCCAATCGGATTAAAAGCATCATGGCGCCGTCCAGCTACATGGGGGTTTGTTGCGTGTATTGTGTAGTCTTTCATTACTTATTTCTTCAGCAGGGGATTGATAGACATATTGTACGTCCAATTCCATGAAAAATAAAAAAGATTTTATAAAAAGATAACTATTAAATTGGCTAACTCATTACAGAAAAAAATAAAAATAATTTTCTATTATAATGAGAATTTTCAAAATTCAATAATAATAATAATAGAAAAATCTTCTAGTATTATAAATGATTACATTTGTTTATTCGAAGTTCGTATAATTTAATTTTATAAAATATTACCTTTATCATTCATTAATCAAATATTAATTTATTAGATTAATGAATGATAAAGATAAATTTAATGTCATTGAAATTCAGCATTTTTAATACTAAATAATTAGTTTTATTATATAATTAATGAGTATAAATCAAGTAATATATTTTCCTAATCTAGTTAAAGGTCATGAAATCATTGCCTTATAATTAGATCAGTTCTACATAGGCTACTTATCTTTCTAATTCAGGTAATTTTTCTCTAGTAGATGTATTATATTTCCGTTTACATCTGTAAGTTACATACATAAACTTACTGTAATATAAAATGCAAATAAACAAATCATTTTGTATTGTATTGTATTTTGTAAAAAAAAGAGGCTGATGAATTTACAATTAAATAAAAATACGTAATAGAGACTAAAAATGTCTTCACTTGTCGCCAAGTCCAGTATCTTCCGCTGCAGAGACGACCTTTCTTTAGAGGCTATGCCTCTGCAAAAACATGCAAAACAGTCTAAAAGTCCACAGGTGACAATCCCATCACAATTAAAAATATAATATTTCTTTTGTAAAAAAGAGCTGACGAATTTAGAAGTCCTTTTTTTAAAAGTCCACACATTGTCACCTATGGACTTTTAGACTGTTTTGCATTTTTTTGCAGAGGCATAGCCTCTAAAGAAAGGTCGTCTATGCAGCGGAAGATACCGGACGTGGCGACAAGTTAAGACATTTTTAGTCTCTATTACGTATTTTTATTAAATCAATTTGATTTATTTATTCCATAAGTTTTTAGGATGATTATAACCATGAGCGAATCTAGGTTTTTCGGGGCCTAGGCCTTATTGAAGTCCAAAGGACTCCATTTTTTTTTTTTTTTTTTTTAGATTAAGAAATCAATTGATCACAATAATACTATAAATTATTATTATTATTATTANTATATATAAAAATATATAGATAATAAACATAGATTATACGTAAGCTCTTATACAATTCACGAATGTTGCAAGTTTAAGTTAGACGTAAAGAGATATTATTGGATAGCGATGAGACAGAGCAGTAATTAGCTCTTACTACACTACTTTTGCCACTTCACTCTGTAGGTTAAATAGGATATCGATGAACGAATGACCACGTCAATGAAGTGATCAGTAGAAGTAGTCTAAGTGAATTACACTACGGATAACTCATCAATTCGAATAATAACAGTGCAATTATCATGGCAGGAGATGCTAATTGATTGTTATTTAGCTTCATGTCACGCACAAAAGAAAGCTATCATCATTTTTGTTATGGCGTCGGATGTCATTTTCATATTTTTTCGGATATCTTATCAGGAGACGATATAAATTTTACAACCAAATGAATAATTCTTCGTATAATTAACCCCAATCTTTTTAATTAGTTTTATATGGATTAAAATAGTGTAGTAGATTAGGGAAATTATTTTAGCCTTACGTAATTCAGATAGAATAAGTGTAGATGTAAGTAAAGATTTGCTACGGACTTTTAATTATTTTCTGTCTAGATACAGAGTTACAAGACTAGGAGATGAAGTATGTGACCTTTGACTCAGGCCATACTGTAACGAACTACTACAAGTGAGAGTCGGCATATTTCAGTGTTTGGGGTCGATAGAAATATTGGGACACAGAATACGAGGACTGTCCCTACATTGACAGTTGGACAATGGGGCAAATTTAAACCCTGCGGCTCGCTAGAACAGACAACCTACGGTTTTCTCATTTTTCTTGCTTGCCCCCGAGCTTTTTTAGGGTCTGTAACACTTGTCCCAACCTTCCGTGACAGCCTCTGGAATGTAGTGCTGACAGGAAAATTTGGTTTAGTTTTGTTATCGATATCGACACCAACACCAATGCTATTACTGTAAAGGTAAAGCTTCGACGTGTAAAATCTAAATATTTATTTTCAAAAGGTAAAATTAAAAGAACGGTTCCCATGTTAACTCGAATATCGTTGCAAATTATAGAGTAAGAAAAGAAGTTTAAAATCTTAAAATGTAAATTAAAACAATCATTAGACTAGAAACAAAAATCAGCTATTGTTTAGGGGATTTTTGTTATTTCTAATTTAAAAAAAACTCACACATTAAGTTTTGTTGACATTTATACTGTAGAAAAATTCTTTCAAGTTTGTGAACTTATTTAAATTTATCTTCTGAATAGCTTAATTTGTATGTAGATATCTAGGTTTTTTTTTTATCAAAGAAATTTTTCAATCAGTCGCATAATAGATAGATAGTGTGTTGCAATCGAGATGGCGAAGGATCATTTGTTGGCTCGGACATACAGTTATCAATTAAATGAGATCATTAACTGTACGTGCAAACGACATCCTAGGGCGAGCAAGACTACGGACACGAAAAAATAAAAAGATGGATTTTTTAACGTTTTGATTGTATCCTAACCCGTAGATTGGTAGCAGCGGGACTACAGTCATCATTACAAGTGAAGTTCCTCTGAAAAAGAATAAGAAAAACTGTCAGCTGCAACCAACTTCATTGTGTCTCTTTGACTGAAATTCTTTCTTTGATCTCGTTGGACGCTATGGTTGACGTCAGACACCTCACTGTGTGAGAACATTTCCTAATCTATGTGCCGGATGTCTACCTAATCACTGTAAAGGTTATATAGATTTATAGGCTTTTATTTTCCTCGTATATTACTTTTATTGGTAAAAGTCGTGTGGAGAGGGATGGGTATGATCGGACTTGTAAACTTAAAAGGGTGTGGATTTGTATTCTACATATTGCTCTCGTTTCAAGGTTGCATTTACTATTATTATTATTTTAAAGATTCTAAAATCTTTTATATTATTACATGCATAGTATCCTATTATAAAAATTTGGTATAATCGAGCAGCATATAAATATAGGGTTTTAAATAACGTTAGTTAGCACCTGCCTTTAATTTTCAAATCAATTTAATAGCAGATAGAAAAAAAATTATAATTATGAAGCTTTTTGTTTTGACGTTAAAATTCAAACCTACGTAACAAAGTTAGATTTATATCTATATTTGAGTACGTGATAAAATTATTTAAGTTTAATATTAATCATTTCCATTTTATAAATTACATGATATTAAAGTATTATGTATAAATTATTCCTTTACACAGTGTTTAATTTTTTTTAATTTAAAAAAAAACAAACCCTATAATACAAGTAATTATTAGAAATACACTACTAGATGATTTCTATATTTAATGCAATCAAATACCATACTTTTAAATTAGGAAAAAACCCCTTAAAATCTGGCTTTAAAACTTTTATGATTAGTAAATCAAAAATGAAACTAATTATATATAATTAGTTTCATTCTCTATTACAATATACAGTATTTATAATGAGAAAGTGATGAAATTTCTAAATAAAATAAAAATTCATTTTTTTTAATTATTTAAATATTTGAGACTTAATTTGAATATTTTTATTACTTAGATTTTGTTGACATTATTATTATTATTATTATTATTTATTTATTAGTTATAATATAAACAGCTTAAATTTTACTCTAAACACCACCTGCACTGCTTTACAACNAGAATTACTATTTTCCTGCGAATTCTATTTCTATACAAGCATAACGACGACCGGTACTTAAAAGGTGAGAACAGGAAGATATTTTATTGTATTCTACACCTATTTATCTTTACAATTTTAATTATTTACGTATCTTTATATACTTTAGTCCTTTAATAATTTAGTCCTAAATAACAAGGACTATCATCTTCAAAAATTTATATAAAACTCAACTATATTATAATATAGGCGATGATTATGACATGAATGGAAGTTTGGCACACGAGCGGTGCGATTGGGCCAATTTTTACGAATGCCATAATCGCTAATTATCATACGGTATTTTGTGGTTAGACTAAACCTATAACACTATATTTATAGAACTCAAAATCATGTATAAACACAGTGTTTGTGGCACGGCTTTATGGCACAGCTACCACAAATACTGTGTTTAATCTAACTTTTAATTAAATTATAAGATTATTATCGTTTCAGTATTATCTACAATTAAGAGTTACAATTATTAATTAAGTAAATACTTAGAAAAATACGTGTTAATTTTCCTACAATCAGTAGGCCTACGTTGTAAATCAGCGAAACAATAAAGTACAGTGTTTTAGTAAATCGTACACCTTCATTTACTCGGAAGTTATTGCAAAAACATTTCATTTAAATTTTAAAAGTACTCAAATTATTATAAAATATATGTCGTTCCGACAATATTTTATTCCAGATAGTACATCTCGTTTATGGCGTTGTACATTAATATCTACTTACACGCCTATAATTCCGAGATAAGCATTCTCGTATTACTTATCTCTTCGTTTGCATGCAACACTACTTTCCTCCTTTACAAGTTATTCTATTTAACATGTTATCATTCCTTTACTTAACGCTGAAAAATTCTCTTTGGAAATGAGGTATTTTGCTAATTTACTTCGCTCTTAAATTTCACATAACAATAGCATTTTTAATTATACTAATCCATACCCTATAGAAATGTTTAAATATCGAAAAATATTGAAATTTTTAATTATTATTGTAAAAGGAAACTTCATTATTCATCAAAATTGCACAGGTTTTGGTCAAGAAATAAGGAGTAGAAAAGCTTTTAGAAATGAAATTTACTACTTTAATTTTGTGATTTAGAAAATAAAACTGATGTATTTGATGTTAATTCTCTAAAAGTGAATTTATTTTGTTAAAATACTGTATAATTTCACGTTATTCTTAATAGGAAAGTGTAAAATGATATCAATTTGTACACAATTTCTACAAGACGAATGCACTTTAATTTTGAATTTGTAGAAATTATTTTTAATTGTAATTTCTTTCACGTAATGTTAAATAGCGTATCGACTATAAATTCTCGTTAGTACGTCCCCGGAGATAGCGTATTATTTTATATAAAAAAAAAAGTTTTTAATGATCATTAGTACGCTTAAGAATTTACAAGAAGATTATTCACCCCGTATCCCGCTATTAGTATTATTCCTGGGGTGAATAATCTCGAGTTAGTTTCTCTGGACGAATTGCCTTTGGGTGAGTTTAGCTTCTTTAAAATTATGAACTTCATTTAAAGAATGACATTCGACAAGTATAATGAGTGAAATATAAACAACCAAAATAGGATCCTAAGAAAAATGATTAAGACCGGAAAAAATAATTAAAATTGACGTCATAAATAGAAGAAGAATAATAGTTTACTTAAAATTTCATGGGTTATACGATACAAAATGTGTCAATAAAGGAAAATAAATAGCGAACCGAACATTAAAACACATAGTTAATAGAATTAACTTTATTAAGAATTCAATTAAAATCATTTTAAATAAATATATTCCTTATAAATTGCTATTGAAGATTGTTAGAGGAGAAAAATATACATAATTATTAACAGAATAATTCA